TTATGTTGATTTTTCTAACACATAACAGCCACAAAACTGTTAAAAATAGAGAAATGATAAATGATGATGGTAAAGCAGTGCTACACACAGAAGACACAGATTAGAGCTTTGTGGTGATAAGGGCTTACCGGTGTCAATGTGCTCTAAGAGCAGAATATACTGTACATTGCATCCCACCTCTCACCAGAACTCTCCAGAAATTTCTGTGTTGTTGTGAATGTTCTGAGCAGAGAATCTGCTGCTGTAATGTTTATGTGTGAAAGGCAAACTCCGGAGAAAATCCAGATCCAATTGTGCAAGCAAACGTCCAGAGTTCATGTCTGAAAACGGCTTAAATTTTGTGATATGTTGTCTCAAGGCCTCTTGTCATGAAGCCTTCTAGTCTCTGTGCAGCTTTACAGATATCTAAGATCCTGCTGCTATAATACACATCTGTTGGATACTTTATCCTTTTGCTGCTAACTGAAGAACTGAACAGGACATGTTTGAATGAATTGCTTTGAGTATAAGTAACTTGTGATAATCCTGGATACAAGTAAAGCTTTTAAAGTTATTCCTATAATTTTATATGAAGTAGGCTACAACGCCATTCCATGTGTCAGGCTGTCTTAATAGCACCTGTGTTTCAATTCCACACAGTGAATTAACAATAGGAGATGTGTGCAACAACACCTTCGTCACTGATGTATTTTTGCCGCAGTGAAAGGACAGATAATCAAAGACATCAGCATTTCAGCCACCCTGTATGCCTTTGGGATCTTTTATTTATTCAACAGTATGTGAGCATTTACATACAAATGTAGGCAAAACAACTGAATAAATTAAATGGAGCCACATTTTGCCAGTTAAGGGGCTGGCTCAACTGTTAATCCAGCTGGAGTGAGGAAAGCAGGCACTCTGGAAAGAAACTGTAGCTCAGAATTACTGATGTATTACCCTTGGTGCAGATACAGCCACCAACATCTATTTTCAACATTCCTCCTGAGTGTGATAATATCATGATGACATCTCAAGCTGTCTCAGCTTTTTAAGATACCATTGCAGGAGGAGGAGAAAACCGTGCTTTCCCATGAATGTCATAGTTTCAGAATTTATACAAAACACACTATTATTAAGTTTTGAAATGATTTCAGCAGCAGCCTCTTCATGAGAAGAGGATTTTTACTAACCTATTGAGGAACCTTATAAACCTTTGAGCCCTTTCACATGACAATTGCAAGTCATGGGCTGTTAATGTGACATGCCTGGACAGCAGGAGGGGCTTGGTGGAGGCTTTCTGAATAACAAATGAAACTCAAGCCATCTGTCAGAAAGATTTAGGTGGGGCTTCAAACAGACTGTGACCTTTCAGAAATTAGCTACTGGGGTTGTTGGATGAAAGTAGCTAGCCACTCACTGCTATAGACCCCAACCAAGTTATTTTCCCTCCAGGTTTACATGTTGAGACAGATAGATAGCATTTCCATCCACCCTGTCCCCCACGCAAAAGCAGATTAGTGCAACTGCATACCACACCCACATCCAACATCCTCTGCCCTTAGCACTCAGCAAGAGTGAGGAAAAACTACCAAAAAACCCAATAAAAGGGAAAAAAATGGAGAAACTTCAGAGAGAGCCCTATGTGAGGGATCCCTCTACCAGGATGGACAGAAGTGCAATATACGTCATGTGTAGCAGAGTTCATCAACATAGCAACATTAATGAGAAAAGACAGTGTTAAACATAAATAGCGAGGTGTATTGATCTTTCAAGAATTCAACATATTTGGTCAATTTCAAAGTACATGTATGGAGCATACTAACAGCCTGACTGGAAGGATTTATAATCTATGTTTAAAAAGGATCAAAGCATGACACCCAAGGACCAGGTACTGCAATGGGACAAGTGTTGAGATTTGGAGTCTAGTATTAACTGCTTGTTAACAAATATCTAGCAGGTAGCAGGACTTCTAAAACAGAGAGTATTTAACCACATTTAGATTATCCTCCCTACAGAGCTGGCATGTAGGCCAACAGGAAATAATATAAAACTTTAAAATAACATTTTATTCTAACTTTTTATGAGCCTCCCTTTGTTGCATGAAATGAGTTTTGGTCTGTGACACCAGTAACACAAGAAAAAGAGTGAAAACCCCCATAAACTTGGCATTTGCAACAGAGAACCAAAGCTTCCCACCAGTTAGTTTCTGAACAATAGTGTTCTGTTAATTCTGTGTTTTAGCACTGAAGCATAACCATGCCCATATTTTAGTCAAGAATGAATCTCTACTGCCGCATTGAATAGTAAATTTGTAACAGTTTGTTGTTTTAACCAAGATAAATCCACAACTTTTATGAAAAGAAGAAAAATAGAGCAGGTCCCCCCCCCCATCATTGTGGGAAAACTACATCAACTTGTCACTACATGTCTAACAGCCCCGTGGTCTGTGCTTGGATACATACCCTTAAAGCCAGGTTTATAATTCTGCGTAGGATCACTGCGCAACTCATCACGAACTCTGATGCCTGTGTGCTGGTAAGTCTGTGTGGCTTTTCAATAACGCTGCTGGTGGCAGTACCTACATTGTTGGTTCAACATAGAAGCCCTGAATCTCGTAGAGCTTCCTTTAGTAACTATATCCAAAAGAAGCAAATTAAATTGGAATAGGAAAATATTGCAGAACTAAAATGCCCCACAAGGACTGGACATTATTACAAAGCCATTATCTGTCATGTATATGTTTTCTCCCAGCCCCCACTTTGCTGTATCCCCTCATATTTGTGCTGGCAGCTTACCACACTCTAAAGTCACCCTGAAAAGCTTTCTGTGGCATCAAAACTTTTAAGTCTGAAAGTCCCTTTGAAAGTTCTCCCCTTTGATGTGAGAAATGTTACAGATCAAGCTGGAAACTGACTTCAGCTGCTATCTACTCTGCTGGTATCTGTCATTATGTGGAGGATAAGGATTCATACTGAATGAAATGTGACCAAATAAATAAATAAGTACGCATGCACTCATTCCTCCTGTGAAGTCACTGATCCAGAGACAGACCAGATAGCATCGAGTGATGGAACCCCTGGTGTGTCTGCCACCACCACTCCCACCCCCCCGCCTAACCTTCCAAACACACACACACATTCTCAGCCAGCAGTGAACAGGCTGCATGTCCTCCAGCCGCTCTGAGAAAGAACATCCCTGTGAATGGTGAGAGGTGAACAGACACAGAACTGGGAGAAAAATTAAAAAAATTAAGTCTGATTTGTCCTGTTTATAAATGACAATGTCAGTCCAGTGCTGCTGACAGTAAGTGTCTGAACTCTTTCAAATATCCAACCCTTGTTTTGTCAGAGGGTAAAACCATTCACTACCAGCCTCAGAAACTGCACAGGAATTAAAAATGGATTCCTAAAATATCCTCAATAGTCCTCGATTGTACCCTTAAGGTCAATGAAAATAGATAGCTTCTTTATTACTTTATTACTACTGTCATGACATGTTTCACTTCACGACCAAACCAAGAACAAAGAGTAACAATCTATTTTCCAGACACAAATCTTAAGCATTTAGACCTTGAGAGGGATAAAACTGATCATGTGACTGGAATGACAAATTAAATGTTCATGACAGCATTATACTTTCTCAGAGGGATGCTGAGAAACTAGTCTACGCATTTGTTACTTCTAGACTAGATTATTGTACTTCTTTATCATCTGGATGTCCGAGGAAGTCTGTGAAAAGCCTCCAGTTAGTCCAAAATGCTGCAGCACGAGTGCTGACAGGAACTAGAAGGAAAGATCATATTACTCCTGTCTTAGCTTCTCTGTATTAGCTCCCTGTAAAATTCAGAATTTAATTTAAGATCCTGCTCCACAGATACAAAGCCATTAACAATCAAGCCCCTTCATATATCAAAGAGCTCATAACACCATATAGTCCAGAATACAGGCTCTCTTGTGGTTCCAAGAGTCTGTAAGAGTAGAACAGGAGGTAGAGCATTCAGCTAACAGGCTCCTCTCCTGTGGAACCAGCTCCCACTCTGGGTTCAGGAGGCAGACACCATCTCAGCATTTAAAGTTAAACTTAAAACGTTTCTTTTTGATAAAGACTATAGTTAGTTCTGGATCAGGTGAGTCCTGAGCCATCCCTTAGTTATGCTGCTATAGGTCTAGACTGCTGGGGGAACTCCCATCATGCACTGAGCACTTCTCTTCTTACTCCTGTATTTTTCTCCTCTCCCCCTGGTTCTACAGGTGACTTCCAGTTAATGAGGGAGTTTTTTTCTCCACAGTTGCTCATTGTGGAAACTTTTGGGGTTTCTCTATAGAGTTTAAGGTGTTAACCTTCTATGTAAAGTCTCTTGAGATTATACATATTATGATTTAGCGCAAAACAATTTTTTTCTGGGTTCCTCTTCGTTCATTCAAAAGTCAAACACACACGATAATAAACACACACACACACACACACACGGGTGCACACTTAGCACACACATACATAGGCTTGGATTACAGGTGAATCCAAACAACCACATCCCTTACTACAAACAAATGATCTGCTATCTTTGAGCGTTCCGTCACCCCGGGGCTGCTACGGGGGGGAGGCGGGCTGTGTTTGCTGGGCAGGGAGCTGGCTTCATTTAAGGAACTGCCTGGAAGGCGAATGGAAGATAAAGCACCTCCTGTTCATTTACCCGGATAGATATGGCCAACATTTAAACACGCACACACACATTGATGCATGTTTGTGTGTACACATATATTGTTCTCTTAACCTAATAAACACACGTATCATTATGGGGGGTGGAAACCAAGGGTGAGTTCTCCCAGTTTCAGGCAGAAGACATTTATTACACGGTCATAAACGAAGAGCGGGAACTTCAGGTGTAATCTCTCCGCCTTGCAGGTAGCTGTTTCTGAGCGGAGCCTCGGGTTAGTTAGCGGAGAGCCACGGGCAGCATGAAATGCCTTGGGTCTGCGTAAAAAACCTGAAGGTGTTCCTGCGACACAGTGGACGGTGCTTACCTTGAACGAGCGTCCCGGCGCTCATTACAGCCAGCAGCAGCAGCAGCACAGAAGCAGCCGAAGTCATCCTTACAAAGTCGCCCACAGGGTTTGACGAGAAGTTTAACACACGGGGAGCTGAGGTCGGTGCGAGGTGAGGGAACACGGCCCGAGGACACGACTCTGTTGAGCGGAAGAGCTGTGGAAAGTCCGGAAAACAACCAGAGCTGTGACTGCGATATGGAGGCAGGTGACACATGGAGGGCAGAGAGAGGAGAGGAGGGGTGAGAGAGGAGAGGAGGGGAGAGAGAGGAGAGCAGGGGAGAGAGAGGAAGGGAGGAGGAGGCTTTCTACTTGTATGTCGCCTTAAGGTGCTGCCGGAAATCTGGACACTACCACATCGGAATGAAGGTCGGCGAACAGAGAATTCCAAAAATTTACGAGGGGCACCCAAAGGCAGCATAATTTCCACAGTGGTTAGCTCCACCTTCAAGGGAACTTTTTTTTCGTTTCCTTGTATGATTGACAGAAGGAGTGTGTATACATGAGAATCCACGCAAATAATAGCAGCATATACAAATACAGATTCAATGATACTAAAATGTACCTATTCTCTCTGTCAGTAAATTATGTCAAACATAAAAACTAATGTCATCAAAGCAGCAGGTCATATCCTTCCTTTCAAACAGAAGCCAGAGGTAACAGCTTCAAAAGAGCGAGATCCGTTAAAAACTTCATGGATATTAGGTTTTGTTGTTAATAATGTTAACGTTGGTAAATCAAGCAATGAAACTATTGGCAGGGTTTTATGTAAATTTTAATTTAATTACTGAGCCTCGAAGTAAAAAACAAGTTCTTACTGATCTTCTAGTTTATTTCATTCTTTGAAACATTTGGCAAATATCCTTGTTGAACTTTGTCTGTTAGATCAAGGGACTAGAAAACTGTTTGGACATAAACAGATCATATATTAATTACCATGTTCATCAAATAGATTGAAAATGTAATTGATAGCCTATATATGTTTGAGACAAATGACAAAAGAAAAAGGATTTGTTTTCGGTATACGTCACAATTGTTTCCAAGGGTGAGAAATTGTTTGAAAAAGAAAGATTCCAAGCTGGGAGGACACACTGATGGATTTTGGTATTGGGGAAGGTAATTGTACAATCGTATGAATTAAAATTGTACTGATGTAATCTTATGATACAAAAACACAATCAGATGTTAACTTGGGATTCTTTAGAAGGAGTTAATTTTCATAATGCCATCGAAAGAGTCATCATTTCAAAAATAAGTAGTGAGTTCCGAGTGCCCTCACATAGCAGTGATCTTCTAGCCTGATGTGCTACATGGTTTGTAACGAATCTGATAGTTGGAAACTGTCCCGAAAATGGCAGGCACTTTTAAAAGACACTTGGATGAAACATCTATCCACCACTATCCACAGGCTCTTCATGTAAACTTGCTACATCTAAATGTCTATACTCTGCCCTGCCTCTCTGTTCCTCTCATTTCTAATCTATATGCAGTAACTGTAGGTGGAACTTGTCATTAAAGTACTAGTAAACACAGGAAACTACATGGCATGTGTCATGTTTACAATACAATAATAATATATATAATAGGTCACAACTATGCACAGCAATTCACTGTATTATCATGAGTGTCACAGGATAACGTTTGGATCTAGATGTTGTGTGTCAGGCACACTGATTTTAGAGTCTGTAAAGGCCAAGGTCTCCCATTACAGAAATATTGTGTGTTGAGACATAATATTTTCATGTAATTTAGAATGTTAATGGATTTAACAATAGTTTAGTATAATCTTGAATATGCTCTCCCAAGTATTGGAGATGGAGTGGAGAAGTGGTGATTATGTACAATTGTCTTGAATTAAAATTAAAAATCAAACATCAGAGTTGCAACATTTCTGAGGTCAGGATGTGGAAGTATCATCTGATAGTCATGCTGTATAAAGGCCTGACTGAACTGACTTGTTGGATTCCTGGATAGCTAGCTGACTCACTAGCTGACTGACTCTGCTGTGGGGATCACCTAAACCTTTTATTCTTCTTCTATTCTATTCTAAATATATATTAATATACTTGACATGTAAAATCGAATCAATTGGACGTACTAAAAAACCTGAAAGCATTCTTGGAAAATATTACTGAAAGTAAAACCAAGTTTAAGGTACTTTCAAGATGGTGTTCAGAGTCGTATCGACTTTATAGAAAGTCATAATGTCCCCTCTTAGTGGGTTCTAACTCTATAAAAAACCTGTATAGATTATAATACGTCAGTAAATGGATTCAGTGCATACACCTTCCATGAGCTCTTTCCAGGTTCGACTCCAGCTGCTGACATAAAGTCTAAACTGTCAGAAAGTTTTGTTTCTCACACTGGGTCGTCTCCACCATTTGCAAATAATATAGGCTACTATATTATATTATAAATATACAACCCCAAAACAGAAAAGGTTGGAACGTTACATTTATAATTAAAACTGAGAACAATGATTTATAAATGATCTGTGACCTATATTACAGTAAAATCAATATAAAAGCACATTATTTGATGATGACCTCATGGATTTGATTGTTTTTCCAAAATAAACACTTTTTAAACACATCAGTTTTGATTCTTATAACATATATTAAAAAAAGTTGGAGCAGTAAAGCATTTACCACTTTGTAATGTTGCCATTCCTTTTCACAACAGTTAAAATACATTAAGGGACTTCAAGACAGCAAGTGATGAAATGTTTCAGGTGTCATTTTGTCCCATTCTTCCTGCAAACAAGTCTATGTTGCGTCACATTTTGCGTTTCAAAATGTGCCACACATTCTATATTGTGGCCAAGTCAGGACTGCCCGCATTCCAGTCCAGCACCCCCACCCTCTTCATCCACAGCCATTTTTGGTCCGGAGCACATGGTGTCCATACTGACTCATTTGACAACAATACACGTTTCCACTGTGTTATGGATCATCCCAGAAGCCTTTGTGTCCAGAGAAGTTGACGGTGCTTCTGGACACGGATAACATAAGGCTTCCTTTAGCACAGTCAAGTTTTAACTGGCATTTGTGGATGTAACTACATATTGTGGTGCTTGACAAATGTTTGCCGAAGTAAAGCCCATGTGGTTATGTCGCTTATAGATAAATGATGGTTCTTGATCCAGTGTCGCCTGAGGGACTGGAGAGCACGGTTAGTCAGCCTAGCCCTCACGCACTGAAAATCCTCCAGATTCCTTGAATAATAATGTTATGCACTGTAGAGGATGAAATATCCAAACCCCTTCCTATCTTTCTTTGAGGAACACTGTTTTGAAACATTTCAATAGTTTTCTCACACATTTGTTGGCCAACTGGCGATCCTCATCCTGTCTGTGCTCCTAAAGGTCTTTCCTGGATGCTGCTTTTGTTCTAAATCCTGATCATAATCATTTGTTGGCATTACCTAATTCAAGTCACTTCATTTTTTAATCATTCAACCTCATTACTGGCCCTAAACTGCCCCTGTCCCAACTTTTTTTGGAATGTTTTGCAGGCCTGAATGGCAGGAATAGATGTATATTTACAAATAAAATGTAGTTGACGAGACAAAACATAAAATATCTCATGTTCATACTGTCTGCAATGAAATATAGGTCAAATTAAATGTAGTCTTTTTTTATTTGCATTTTCCATACTGTTCCAACTTATTCTGAGTTGGGTTTGTAATACTATATACTATTAGCTCCAAGTATCAGTTTTAGGACTGCACCCCTGGAGCTAACATGCAGTCAGTGCTTACTCTAGGACCCTCTGGCAATGTGAGTTTCCACTGACAGATTACTTAAACCAAGGCTTTAACATTCAGTTAAAGAGTATTCTCCGAAACAACAAGGCAACTGTGTCACTGAAGTCACCCTCACACACATATGACATGGGTTACATTTGCAAACGTATAGACCATGAGTCTCACAACTCATGGTCTATACAGTATTTGTGACCAACATTCCTGCAAGCTATTTCTCTGCAAATGCCATTTATGAATATATAGCTTTCTGAGAAATACTGAGAAATGAACTATATAAGTTTGTTCAATTGTTACGAGGAAGGATGCATAAAGTAATTCCTTGTTTGCATTCAAACAGTTTTGTTTCTGTTATTTACCTCAAACTCATTGAACAACTTCTTTTATTTAACAACAATGCTCCCAGTAAAAGATCAGATTGAGTATAATGGAAGAGATAAACCATTGTATCCAAATCCTTTATCTGTTTCAGGGGTATTTCTTGCACAACAACATTATTTTTTTGCCTTTGTTCACTAGTAATAACCAGGCCCCTTGGGGTGGCGTCTCCACTTGTGCTGCAGTTTTATTGCACACTTTTCATAGGTTTACATAAACTCTGTAATCATTATCCATGTACCTTTGGCATGCAGCCTTCAACAGTTTAGATAAACAGCAAGAGCAAACAGGACCCCGATACGAACACTGCAGCTGTGTCCCAGATACGAGTTCAGATCTAAAGGTTGGACTCAAAGTGCCCCAAAACAGGCAGAGTCTAAAACTCTTATTGAATTCTTGTCAATTTACAGTTTCTTAAGTCATTGATATCAACTGAAATAACTTATTTGATGTGTCGACCAAACGCAGCCAGAGGAAGGTTGCATTTGTCACAAGATCATATGGAATGGGACAGAGGTTTGACCTGTTATATATTCACAGCAGACATTTTGACTCATCACAACAGGAAAGAATAGGTAAAACATAAAGGATTGAACCTGTGAATCTGTGACAGCAAACCAGCACAAAACCAGGGCAATGAAACACATTTACACCTGTGACAAATCAAAATGTCTGCAGTGAAAAAGACCGATTGTGGTCAACAAGTGCACACCTTTTGAGGATCCAGCCCCCACACAGGAACACATCTCAAGGCAGGTAGTATGAAAGGCCATTTATGATGACCAGCATCTAGCTAAAAGGTTGCCATAGGCTACAGCAAACACTCAGCAGGTCATCTAAAAAGACATAACAACCACCACTCTGGGAGGGAAGAGCAGGCAGTTGATAACAAGCACAGTCATGTGGTCAGCTCAGAACCGAAGTTCACTGAGGACATCCAGTGGACAGGTGTGGCATGACTAGCTTCTGAAAATGACATTCAAGGTTACATCTTTTTTTATTCATCTCCATCATTGCCTCACTGGCACCTCTCTCTTGTTCCTCAGACAGACATTCAGATTTTGACTTAGATTATTGAAGTGATTCCTCAATGAACTGTG